TTAACGTACTTCCCATGTGCCATTTCAGTCTCAGCTTCTATGTTCTATATTTTCTGAACCCGACAACGATTCTTCAATTGAGTGTATACAGCCATATGCAGAAATTCTGATCCAGCCAAGTATATAGTATAATAACTATATCGGGTACATTCTGGGTAAAGACCCGCGGGATTTAAAAATGTAAGGGAGGATCTCCCATCAATTATTTTTGATGTACTTTTGACATATTCGTATATATGTAGAAAAGGGTCAACCTTTATGCATATGACTGTATATATATATTTTTCAAACAAAAGAGTGAAGTGACAGTTCTGTTCGCTTGCCTTTTGATTTAAGGGGAACTCCAGGAATACGCTCAGTCAAAACTTGTTTTCCGCGTATCGTTACAGTAAAGGTTAACAAACTGTATATCATTTTAAAGCTTATAAACTAGAGAATACGATAATCCATGTCTTTAATTCCTAGAAAAACTTTATCTCTAACGGAAGCGGCAAGTTTGAACTCAAGACAGATCTTATTTCATGGGAACGATTTTTTCATAGAACACTTACCTTAGTGGTTTGGTGATTGCCATAAATCGGTCTAAACTTACAAAACTCAGTGTCACCAAAGAGGCATTAAAACAAGTGCTTATAAATACAGCATGAAGTTTACACCAAGTCTCAAAAAACAGCCATTTTTGGTCCAAAGTCGAAGAGATATAAAAAGGGCTGTACACAATTCCAAGGAGTAGGTCCGCGACAGATAAATTTGCGAGAAAATAAAATCCAGGTGTATGAAGACGATGGTCCAACCAAATAATTATGATAACTAGAGTATTTCCAACGACTGTAGTTACCAAAATTATTATTAAAAAGAAAACTTGGATTTGAATTTCAAACGCTTCGCGAAAATATAAAGGTGAACTTGTAGAGGCGTTTGAATGATTCGCCATCTTGCTCTGACAACTTCTTTCTGCGTTCAACTAGTAATCAAATGATACTTTGAGATCGATATCTCCATACGTTCATTTAACAATACGGCAATTATAAATAAGCCGGACTTCACAGGATTCAAACGTCAAATCTGTAAATATTTGTTTCATTCAGTTCGTGTCGGGACAATAGGACAGCTGCTTTGTGTTTCTGTGCTACAGCTACGGTGTAAAATTGAAACATCCTGTTATTTACCTAAATTAAACTTCGACAATTTTCCAGATCATCTCTTAATATTGCTAGAATTTTCAAACAGAATTTATTTATTATTTCAGAATTAAAAAAGAAGTTAAGTCTAAATGTTTTCAAAGCAGGAGAATCATACAATGTCGTCTGACTTTTCAAACGATGTCAATGGTAAGGAAACAATGGAGAGGGATTACTCATTTAATATTAATTTTAATTTTATCCTCGATGTTAAGATAATCTCAGAATCAAAATTTTGCATAAATAAAGCAAGAGGATAGTTTAATTTGCCTTTGCGAATGCAACATTTATTCTCATCGCTCGATTGACACGTTACAAGACTTCGCATTCATTCTCTGGCCGTTTTTTCTCTCTTCAAAATACCCATTGCAGTCAAGCTTGACTACTAAATAATAATATTTTAGTTGCCCAATGACTTCACAGTTTTTCTATACTTAGAAGTACGAAACACCTTGTAAACTTTTCACCTTGGAAACGTTATTGGTCGATGAAGTTCCACTTGACAGGAAAATAATGACATTCTAAATAATATTCCTTGTTGAAGTTTCTGCAAAACACATGCCAAGATAATGAGTTTTGTGAGACAACTTTAAACCTTTAAACAGAAGTTTGCATTCAATAACGTTTTTGGGAAAACACTTTTACATTCGCAACTATTAGTATAGGAAAAGGCGAGTGCAATTAAAGAACTTTCAAAACATTACTCGTGTCTATTAATTTCAAATTGTACGAGAAGATCGTGTGATTTTTTGTTTATAATTCACTCAACAAAATCACAGTAAAAAATGCGAAGCGACGCCGTTCATCTTTGTCTATTTGGCGGCCGATTTTCAGTCCATCGCACAACTGAAATGCATAAAAAACATTAGTTCTTACGGCTTTAAAATTTTATTTATATGTTTTTAAAGTACGAAATGATGGAAAATAATTGTTTTGACATTGTTTTGGCCCTGTTGCCATAGCGACTTAATTTGGTACTCCTACGGAGTACAATTAACGCTATAATTGTACTCCTCTCGACCAATCAGAGTCGAGTAATTTTGTTGAGTGTACTATAACAAAGGAAATGACTAGAGCATCAAAATGGCTTCCTCTTTCCTCAAAGTAAAAGAGTTAAAAAATCATATCAACACATTATTTCTCAAAAGATTTTACAATGTTACTTGGCTAAATATCTTCATGTGCCGTCTCTCTCTCTCTCTCTCTCTCTCTCTCTCTCTCTTTCTTTTACTACTCTTCGCTTCGACTTATAACAGGTGTGGGCTTTGTTAATTGGTGTTTGCTAATTCAGTTCTGTAGGTTTAATTTGGCGGCCGGTGGTCAGTCGTTGGGCAATACCAAAGATTTTAATCACACTTGGCACAGCCAGTTTTTTTCTTAATTTCAATTAAAACTAATTTCAAGTCGTTTCTTGTCGTAAAATGTTTAATTTTCTCAAGATTAGACATTCGATAACTTTTACAGAAAATTAACAAATCTACCGCTTTTTCTGACTTTAAAAATGTTTCATTCATCAAATATTTATCAACCGCTATTTTTCGCTTTTTTCGCTCTAGCCGTGCGAACTTGGAATTTTAAAGAAACTTTGTTTCTTAATGTGTTTACTTGTCTTTCGTTTGTATAATAGTAATATTTAGTAGTAGTATTTACTTTTTTCTTTGTAAAAATGGTTACAAATTACTGAAATAAAGAAGTTCCATTTTTGGTCCGCAAAGGGTTCGTAAGGTTGAATAGTATGGATCGAGTTATATCCACGCTATTCCTACATGGGATGCCTACGTAAATTGGTACCGCTGTTGTTATCAAAATTTCATTGAAAATCATGTCAGAATTACATACAATAAGCCTGAAGCGAGATGACGTTTTACTGACCCCCGTCTCTAATTGAGAAAAAATTGCCAGCCAGTATTAGAACAGAATGGGCCAAGGTGGTGAATAATGATGATAACAAAGTGGACAAAACCAATAAATTTCCTAGCCTCTTACAGTTTCTGTTAAACCAGAAGAGAGCATTCGAATATGACTTAGCTGAATTACGCACAAGTAACACGTCAACACAAGCCAGCAGTGCATCATGTAGCAGCCAAAGAGCAAGACACTTGCAAATCCGGAGATAAAAGGCAACGTTATACAGATGGAAAAACAAGTGCAAGATGTTTATTACACGAAAGATCAGACCATTGGACAGACCAATGTCAAAATTATTTATCCAAGACATGCAATGAAAAGTAAGATCTACTGAAAGAGAAGAAAGCATGTTGGTCTTGTCTGAAAACAGGACACACGTTCTATGACTGCAAGAGAAAGAAGAACTGTGGAGAGAATGGCTGTGCCAAAAGACACCACAAGACACTTCACAATCCTGAGGAAAGTACAGCAAACAACCAGGAAAGCAAAATTCAAGAAGAAAAGCTAATAAATAGAAAGCAAACAAGAGGGGAAACGTGCTACATCGTGCGACACCTTAGCTGAAGACAATTGCCTTCTACTATTTCAAAGAATTCTAACGCCTAATGGAGAGATAAATGTTATGTGGGACAGTGGAGCTTCCTTATGTTTCATTACCATCACCAAAGCTAAAGAAATGAAGTTACCGAGTCAAGATGCAACATTCAGTATTGTGAAGGTTGGAGGTGAAATCGAGACAATAGATTCAAAGAAATACAAGCTTCATCTCATTGACGAGCAGGGACAAGTAATTCAAAAAGAAGCATTTGGAATAGACAAGATCTCGCCCCATGTAAGGGAATCCGGACTTATGGTGGATTCCGGATTCCAAGCGCTGGATTCCGGATTCCGAGACTCTGGATTACGGATTCCAAGGGTCTGGATTCCGGATTCCAAAACTTTTGTATTGTGGATTCCGGATTCCATATCGTTAATTTTCAGATACTTTCTCTGAAAATTACATTTCATATACTTGCCAGTATAACTAGGGAGGTGTCCCTGGTATATATAACTAGAGTGATAAAAAAATAATTGACAAAAGTGCATACATTAAGTTTCAGACACCATAACGTATTGCAAATAGCCCACTCCTCCCTTTTGAATTCATTTGTCATATAACCTCTAATATTAAACGACAATTTTCTGATCTAAATTTCAATTTAATTATTGTTAAAGCGCGCCTTTTACATTACCAACATATTGAATTGTACATGTACAAGGCCTGGATTCCCGATATTACAGAGTGCTGGATTCCGGATTCCAAAGCCTAAAATTTCGTGGATTCCGGATTCCTGATTCCCTTACATGGGGCGAAAGTTCACGTCAGATATCCAGAGCATCGACGTTGAGGGAGTTTTACATCTATTTAAAGATATCAAGAAAGAAGATATTTCAAGACGTGAAGGATCTGTTGATGTTCTAATTGGTTACGAGTATGCCGGATTTTACCCAGAGCTAGCCAGAACAAAAAGTGGAACATTTGTTATTATTAAAGAACCGCTTTGGAGGATGTCTTGGAGGTAATAACCCACTCATCAAAGATGTTAGAGAAACACGTAGTCAACACGTACTTCGATCTCATCATGTTGGTCAAGTACCTAAAGTAGACTTGGAAGACTTCTACAAAATCGAAAATCTGGGAATAGAATGTAGTCCTCGTTGTGGTGGTTGCAAATGTGGAAAGTGCCCTCCTGAGACAAAAGATTATACGTTAAAAGAAGAATGAGAACTGAGATTAATTGAAAGAAACTTAAAATTCGATAGCGAAGAAAATAGATGGACCACAGATTACCCTTGGATAAGAAATCCAGCTAGCCTACCAGACAATAGAAATGCAGCGATGGGAATGTTGAGGTCTACAGAGAAAAGATTGACCCAAAATGCAGAATATGCTAAAGTTTATCAAGAGCAAATAGATGATATGATAACTAGAAGCGTAGCTAGAAAGCTCGATGCAGATGAGATAAAGAATTATGACGGACCTATTCACTATATTTCACATGACGAAGTTCTGCGCCCAGATTCCAAGTCCACTCCAGTAAGAATAGTATTTAACAGCAGTGCGAATTACATGGGTCACGTTTTGAATGAGTATTGGGCTAAAGGAAAAAAAGGAACCTAAAGGAACCTACTGAACAATTTACTAGGAGTTCTAATCAGATTTAGAAAAAACGAAACAGCAATTAGTGGAGACATCAAGAAAATGTACCCCACAGTTAAGATTGGCATCAAAGATCAGCATACCCATCGATTTTTGTGGAGAAATATGAACAGTGAAAGAGAACCTGATACTTACGTCATTCAAAGAGTTTCGTTTGGAGATAAGCCTGCTGGGACAATAGCCACAGCTGCTTTGAGAAAGACCGCAGAAATGGCAGCAACAGAATATCCTCAAGCAGCAAAGACGATCATAAAGAACACGTATATGGATGACATCATCAACAGTGCTGGAAATAAGGAAGAAACTAAATCCCTTACAACAGACATAGAGAAGGAGGAGGGAGGGTTTCAAGTCAAGTATTGGACATTGTCACGCGAATTTAATCAAGATTATGATACACAGACCTTACCAAACGAAAGAGATTCAAGCACAGAAAAGGTTCTTGGTGTGGTGTGGGGTCTAATCAAAGATCAATTCTACTTCAGAGTACGTTTAAATTCCTCCCCAAAGAAGAAGAAGTTGAGATCAGAACCTGATTTAAGTGTTGAACAAAGTCCTGAAAACGTTCCAGAGCCATTAACGAAGCGAATGATTCTGTCACAAGTTAACGGGATCTATGATCAACTGGGACTTGCAGGTCCGTTCACTGTGAGAACGAAGATGATGATGAGAAGATAATGGTTGAATGACCCTAAACTTGGTTGGGACGATCCAATTCCAGAGAAGTTTAAGAGTGAATGGTTACAGATCTTCAGACATCTTTTTGATATGGAAAACATATCATTCAACAGATATATTAAGCCAAGTAACGCTGTTGGTGAGCCTTCTCTGGTCATTTTCAGTGATGGATCTCAAGAAGCATATGGTGCATGTGCCTATGTTAGATGGGAAATGCCAGAAAATACATTTGAAAGTGAACTTCTCATGTCAAAGAATCGACTTACTCCAGTCAAGAAGATGTCAATCGACAGAATCGAGTTGCGTGGAGCAGTACTAAACAAACGTCTAAAAGCTTTCATAGAGAAAGAGTCGAGGTATCATTTTGTAGAATTTTACCATCCAGTTGACTCACAAATTGTGCAAGCCATGATTCAGAAGGAATCATATGGATTTAACGTCTTCGCTGGAACGCGTATTGGTGAAATTCAAGAAAAAACAGAACCTTCTGATTGGTACTGGATGGATGGAGAGCTTAACATTGCAGATTGGTTAACACTTGGCAAGAAACCTGACGAACTCGATATTGGAAGTGTTTGGCAAAAGGGACCAGAGTTCTTGAAACTACCAGTAAGTGAATGACCAATTAAACAGAAACCCACAAGCATGGCTCTTCCTGAAACAGTCCAACCTGTGATGATAGCAGATGCTATCCAATTATAGACACGCTAGCAACAAGAATCGACATCGAGCGATTCTCATCCTATGTCAGATTGCTTAGAGTGACAGTGAAAATACTGGCTATGTATCACAAAGACCCTAATGCAGAAAACAACTCAGCTTCAAGAAGCTTTAAAAGTCTTGTCTTCCGAAGACATCGAGAAAGCTGAACAGTTTTGGATAAGAGACGCCCAAAAACAGCTAAAACAGAATATGAGTGACGAGTTTAAAACGCATATGCCCTACAATTAACAAGGATGGTATAATAACCGTAAGTGGACGAGTTGAGAAATGGGTACAAATGTGTTACAACCAGAATGAAGTAGCACTCTTGCCATACGACCATCGATTTTCTCGTCTTTATGTTATGCATGCGCACAATCAAGAAACACTATGGTGTAGCAACTACTGTTGCCAAAGTCAGAACGAGATTTTGGATTGTTGGCGCTCACAAGATGGCGAAATCAATAAAATTTCACTGTGTCACTTGCAAGAAGCTGGAAAAGAAAGCTGAAGAGCAAGCAAAGAGCAAACTACCTGAGAGAAGGTTAAAACCGGCACCAGCCTGGAGTTCTACAGGCATTGATTTATTTGGTCCATTAACCATCCGCGACGAAGTAAAATAAGATCCAATGGGAAAGCGTATGGAGTCATCTTTAATTGTCTAGGAACAATTGTCTAGACATTTCAGCAGATTACAGTGCTCAGAAGTTCATGATGGTATTGAGACGTTTTGTGGCGATTAGATGTTATCCCAAGCAAATAATCTCGGATAATGGCACACAACTCGTAGCTGCGAATGAAGAACTGATAAGTATCACCAATTCTTGGGACTGGGACAAACTCGCAGAATTTGGAGCCACAGAGGGAATGCAGTGGAAATTCACTCCTGCTGATGCGCCATGGTACAACGGTGTGTCTGAATCTCTCATAAGTCGATCAAGAGAGCATTGACTGTTGCCATTGGAAACAGCGTCATGACATTTTCAGAATTGCAAACGGTCTGTTATGAAGCTGCAAACTTAGTAAATGAGAGACCTATTGGAAGACTTCCAACTCAACCAGAAGATGGAAAGTATCCGTGTCCAAATGACATCCTGTTAGGAAGATCAACATCAAGAATTCCAAGTACGAATCCAAGATACCGCTTCGAATTTGTCCAAAGTATCGTGAATGCATTTTGGAAAAAAATGGGCTCAGAATTTCTTTCCAAGTTTACTCATCAGACAGAAATGGCATACTGGTAGGCGAAATGTCAAAGTTGGTGATGTAGTGTTGATGCAAGACTCGAATTTGGTTAGAGGAAACTGGAAACTTGGTAAAGTATCTAAGGCACACCCAGATGAAAATGGAATAGTTCGCCGAGTTCAAATACAATATAAAGTATCGTTTCTAGATTTGTCGCTTTTTTCTTTATATAGTAACGTTTTGTATCACAATTATCTCTAGATTTCGAACAAGTAAAAGTAAAAGAAGATGATGATGTTAAATGATATTTAGATGATTAAAGTTCTGAAACCTCGTAGCCGTCAAGTAATTTCGTTTATTTCGAAACAGATATTATCAAGAATTTACTCGACACATAAGATTGTTTCAAAAAAAACATTTATTTTCATTATTTTCAGAAATATTACACATGAGTAGTTACATCTAAAACTAAAATAGACTGAAATTAGTTCCATGCCTGCTAGATGTTGGTATAAAGTTCTTAAAATTAATCGGATTTTGAAAGTTTGTTCGATTTCTGCCTTTTCTTGGGAGGTTCATTTTCCATGCATCCTTGCTGTCTTTTAGCGAAACCTTTTGACTTAGGGTTCGTAGTTCGTGGATCAATTACTTGTTGGTTCTGAATTCTTGTTTGATCTCCGGGTTGGGTGGATATAGGACTGGTTTCTGCCATAACGTTGACCATTTCACTCAAGTCCATGATGACTTTTTTCAATTCTTCAAACTCTTGAATGGAAAGAGATACTCCATACTTTGTTGGAACCTTTTCCGCGTCAGGAAAATCAGTGTATTTTCTGATGTGGATCAGGATCTGTCCTTTAATTCATTGGCCGTAGCGTGATATCCTCAAGGTCCTAACTGGAATAACGTAGCCATTGCGTTTCTCAAAAGTAAATTTTTTAGGTCTTGCTTGCTTGTTTGCTTGGTTGAGTCAGTTGGATGTAAAAATTCAAAATCTCCGCGATCTATAAATCGAATCCCGAAACAAAAGACTCGTCTAACAATAGTCTTATGACATCAATTGGTCGTCATGGCAACCTCGAACGATACCTGCTCGTCATTTATGCTAATGCTTTGATGAATAATTAATGTAAATCTTTTGCTCGTCCAAAAAGGTGCCCGTGCGGTGCCGCCTATACTACTAATAGCCATCTTTTCAATGGCTTTTATTATTTCCAAGAAATGAACGAGTAGGGAGAATCCAGCCTTTCAATCCCAAGAAGCGCGATATAAATATATATACATACATATATATGCATATACAACTCAGAAATATGTATATAGCTCATGAGATATGTCCTATTGCTATCATCTTGGGAACGATGGAATTTTGTGTGAATCACAATATCATGCATGTTTATATAACTGCAACAATCTTAGAAAACGCTTCGATCCGCGACCTTCGTTCTCCCATAGCTATTTTCTAAATATATATATATATATACTGATAAAAACTTTTATTTTATTATGATAGGTTATATAGGTAAACTGAACACCGAATAAAAACGATAACCAGCGATCTCAGTCGAACACACTGATGTCCCTTTTTTTTCTCTCTAGTTACATGTTGGTAAACTAAAATGTTACTAAAGTGAAAATATTGCGTTCGTACTGTTCATAACTGTTCATTCTGTTACGTGTCTTGGCCAGATTTACTCTCTGCGGTCGGTTTAGGAAGGATAATGACTAAGACAGGTACAGGGGGATGCTGTAAGGCTGCTTCTCTTGTAGACTTGTAGATGCCACAGGAAGAGCAATTTGTACCTTCTTCTACATATTGTCCCCCACTATAAGAGGTTAGCATCATT